GAAAAAAATATCTAAAACTAACATTATCATAATTTTACTGAACGTTGCCATTTGCGCAAAAAATTAGCAAAAATGGCCAGCAATCAACCTGTTAGCGCGTGATAAAAACTACCCACAAACAATGTGTTAAAAAGAAATCCTGTACCCATTACCAGTCACTCCCCACAACCCCTCCATTCAGTAGATTTGCATATTAGCCGTTTATTATATAGGATGTCCAGGCCAATTCACAGAGACAGAAAGATGAGAGGTGGCCGGGGCCATGGCAAGCAGGGGACGTGCAGTGACTGCTGACAGGTGTGGGGTTTCTTTGGGGGATGATGACAATGTTCTGGCATTAGATAGTGATGATAGTTGCACAACTTTATGAACATACCAGAAACTACTAAATTACAATTCCAGCCACCTTTATAAAGTGGATTTTATGGTATGTGAATTACATCTCAATAAAGCATTTAGTAAAATTCCTGCTCGGCCTCTTACTAGCCGTCTGGTCCTGGGGAAGTGGGGAAGGGCTCTGAGCCTCAGTTTCCTCGTCAGTAAGTAGGGAATATCTTCAAGGTGGCTAAGAAGACCCAAGGAAATGATGCATTGGAAAGTGCTGTGTAAGCTGTTAAATTCAATAGAAAATTTAGTTAATATTTGCATTCTAAAGAGCTATGTTGCCAGTAAAAATGAAGGTCCTTGTTTCCTAGTAAAGAAATTTTGGGTTTCACGGCTGGGGGAAGCAGCTTGGCACTGGCATCAGGATCTCACTCTGAAATGATGTGACAGATGGTTTCTAATCTTTGCCTGATTCAAATTTTGCCATTCCATCCCCACCCCCACCCATGTTGCTTAAATTGTTTTAGTTCTGATCACCGTATCCATCAACTGAAGGGTTTCCTTCATTATTCTGCAATCACCAAGGATCAGAGCAGGATATGCCCATGGGCTGCCTAGTCAAGGGGGACCAGGAGCCCCAAAGGGGCCACCCAGAGGCTAGGAGAAGAACTGCAGGCTTAAAAAGAAATCCAATCCAGAATATCATTCTAACAGCTAATGAATGATTGAGTCTTAGTGCACTGGCTTGCTACAGGCCAACATCCCTTGTCACCCTTTCAAAAGATCCACTCTTGACTTTAAAACCTCATCCAGAACCCAGGAATTGCTGCTTTTTGAAATCTGCAAAAGATGGGCCATCCTGCCCTGGTTTATAGAGTATCTCATCTCCTGTAATTGAAAAGTTCATCAACATGTTGAGCCTAAATCCCACCTTTTCTGATGACCACAGCGTGGATGACAAAACTTCACACGGCTCAGAGTCCCCTTGCGGGGCTGCAGGCAGCCCTGAGAGGGCATTTTTACGGCAGGACATTGTGTCTGTGCAAACTAGCTGCTCAATGCTTGCTCACAATCAGAGCTCAGAAAAAGTATCAATGAAACAAATTCCAAACCAGTACATTCCCAGTCTAATGAACTCAAATCAATGTAATATAAATACAGGAGCGGGGGCATAATTAATAAGCCCTGCTGGGTGAGGGACAGTTTTGATCCTGGCCACTTGGAAAGTCTCCAGGCAAATCGATAACTTCCCTGGCGTCTGGTTCCCGTCTGTGATGTCGAGCCAGGTTGCAGAGATGAAAGAAGGTGATGAAATCTGATGGCAGAAAGTTTAAGAAAACAGCTTTTTTTTTCCTCAAAGAGCTAATACAAAAGCAGGAAAGTCTTTTACAAGGTGAAAACTTTGGAGGCTAAAGAAGGCAGGCAGAAGCTGACCAGGCGTCACACCGCTGCTGTCATCTCTGGCCTCTCAGGGGTCAGCTGGGCATAGTAACAAAGTCAGTGTCCTGGAGGGGAAGGCCTGTGGGCTCTGAAGTCAAGAACCACCTGGATTTAAATCCCAGCTGTACCGCCTCCAAGCTCCAGGAACTGGGAAAGCAGCCTTATTAACCTCTCTGAACCTATTTTCTTCACCGGCCAAGTTGATGCAATAAAATCCACCTAAAGCAGCGGTTCTCAACCTGTGGATCGCCAACCTATGGGTCGCGACCCCTTCAGGGGTCGAACGACCCTTTCACAGGGGTCACCTAAGACCATAAGAAAACACATATATAATTACATATTGTTTTTGTGATTCATCACTATGCTTTAATTATGTTCAAATTGTAACAACGAAAATACATCCTGCATATCAGATATTTACATTACGATTCATAACAGTAGCAAAATTACAGTTATGAAGTAGCGACAAAAATAATTTTATGGTTGGGGGTCACCACAACATGAGGAACTGTATTAAAGGGTCGCAGCATTAGGAAGGTTGAGAACCACTGACCTAGAGGCTCAGGAAGCACAGCTCACGTGGCACAGCTGGGATCTGGACCTAGATTTCCTGACTCAAACGTCTGTGAACACGTGTCTGCCAACATCCTCTCCCTCACAGACAGAAGGTGGCCCTGAGCACGGTGGTGGGAAGGTGAGTGTGGGAATCCTAAGGACAGAAGATACTTAAGAGGGGAGGGGTAGAGTCATAAGACCCTGTTAGACACTGTGGGCAGCAGCCAGGTGGAGGTGGACAGGACAGCCAGCCGGGTGAGACTTAGCTTCCTTCAGGCTGTGGGGAGAGGAGAGGCTTGTGGAGACTGTACAGGGAGGACAGAGCCCAAAAGCTCAGACATCCAAGTCCCAGGGGTCGGTAGGATGCAAGCTAAGAGGGCACCAGCGGCCTGGAGGATGAGGGAGATAGCTCACCAAATGAGCCTCCGAGAGCCAGCTGGGGCTGTGTGCGAACTGGGCCACGCTGGTCAGGAAGAGATAAGACAAACCCAGTGGCAAAGTGACCACAGCCCTCAGCGAGTAGGAAGGGAAAACGCCCAGCAGGAAGGAGCGGGAATGGCTCCCTGGTGGAGCCCGGACGACCACCAATTCAGCTGCCACTTTCTTCACCCTCCTCTCTCCAAAAGGGTTACAATATGGACGAATTGGGAAAGTAAGTCCACATTGTCTGGGTGAAGTGGGAACGTCAATAAAATGGAGGAAGAAGTCACGTCTGACGGAACTGCTTGGTTTTGCCTCTGCGGCACCTGTACCGGGCGGGGTACGGGAGGAACTGCTGCATCTCAGGGAAAAGCCACCAGCCGAGGTTGAGAACCCGTGGGAATGCGATGACCACTGAGATCTGGTAACGGGCAAATGTTCTCAGAGGGAAAGCAGAACAACACTGAAAAATTCTAGTCCATCAGCTTCGCGGCAAATACCTGCAAAGGTGATCGAATCAGCGCTGTCAGTCCGCCTGCAGGCAGGTGCGACTGTGCTAGTGCCAGGCCCACGTCCTGCACCGGGAGGGAGGGCCAGGCTGCCCATGTGCACCCCAACAGGGAGAACTGCCCCATTCACGTCTCACTGTGCAGATAGCCAACGAGCAACAGGAAAGCGGAAAGGAAAATAATGAAACAAAAGAGGGGTCTGTTCCACCAATGACTTCTCAGGATGGGGTCTACTTCCCAGAAAGTAAACAAACGCTGAGAGGACAGCCTATCAAGAGGCTGGGAGGGAAGCACGGGACCCAGGGTGGGTGTCGGAGTGAGTTCCAGACTTGACCAGCCACAGAGGACTTTTTCCTAAACAAAGTCTTTACAGAAGCTCTACATTTGCAAGATGGAAGAGTGGTCACCCTGGTTGGAGGGTGGGGCTGGTGGGGGACCAACTCGGGGTGGGGAGGTGGGCATTCCACCCACCATCCTCCCCCTGAGGAAACTGGGTCTCCTCAGAAGAATCAGAAAGACCACAGGGCTGGATGCAGGATCGGGAGAACAAGCTGAGTGTGGCAGTGATTACAGACTAGGTAGAGTCAATAAAACAGAGGAGGCAGG